AAGAGACGAGTAAACGTTCAGACAGAAAATCCCTTGGTCCTGACATCCTCATCATGGCTGGAAAAGTCATTTGAGAAGCCGGAGTTACGGCTCTGTGAGAACAATGTCGTACAGTCAGTCTCCAGGGGAAAAAAAATTCATCCACACAATCACTTCCCTCGATCAAATCAGTGATTCCTTTTTATAAAAAAAACATATCTGAAAGACTGGATTTGGTAGAGTTCAGCTTGCAGCTGTTACACTGTGTTATTAACTTTAAATATGAGCAATTACTGTAAATGCTAAAAATCACAAGCTCTAATATGGTAAAAGGGAACCTGTGATTTGGATGGACAGCATGTAGGAAGACTTTAAGTGCATTGGAGTGAGATTAATTCAAAATAAAATCATTCAATATTACATGGGAGTGCATTGGTACCAGTGAGACTTAATACGATCCAGGAAGTCCAGCTGGACCGAAACAACGAGTCCTCCAATCTAAACGACCACATAGGTTGCTTGTCCTTACCCTCGAATGCAACCAAAACAAGTGTACCGGTGGTGAGCGTACCGAACCTTTGTCATCATGGAAACAATAATAAACACGTGGATACGGTCAGGTTTGGGTTAAAATACATAACAAAGTGTAAATGGGCAAGATACTGAACCCCAAATTGCCCCTGATGGCTGTTCCATCAGTGTATGAGTGTGTGTAAAGGTCTGATGTATGTATGAGTATTGTTAAGCGCTTTGAGTGGTCGATACAACTAGAAAACAGCAGTGTAGTCCATTTACTATTTATTTGATTGGACACTACAGAGCCTTGCCGTATATGGTATTGTGCATTGACCACAATCAATTGAATGAGGGAGAAAGTTTTCGTGAAGTTATTTGGTTGAGGTACCGCTCACAGGAACTACATGACGTCTGGTGAAATACAATAATGACTCTTTGTGGCTCTGAAAAAGAACTTAACTTCGCTGATTGAAAACATTTCATCCGCTCTTCAATGCTTCTTTACGTCACCGTGAGGCTCAGAGAACCGCTCGACTCGGTGCTGCAAAGAACGCTTTCTAAAAATGCCCTTTACAGCGCTGTAAATAGCTCTGCAGCGGTACAAGCCTAAAGAAACATTTCCAGTTACTATATAGAAATTTTTGGTTAAGAGTTCAGGAAACCAGAGCGAGGCAGCGCTGTTCGGCTGCATGATGGATTCTGGTAAAGTAAACAGAGGGCGGGAGAACGTGGGGGTCATGCAGGAATAGCAGGCAGACAGACAGCGTCAGCAACTCTGTTCAAGAGCTGACTGACAGATGGAAAAAGAGACAAAAGACGGAGAGAGAGGAACAAGGAACAAGGGAGGGTGGTCCAGAAAGAGTGGGAGAGGGAGGGGAAAAGAGGAGGAAGGAAAGGAGATGAAAAAGAGACAGAGAGGGGGTAAAAATAAGAGTGAGGAAGCCAGAGAGACGGAGAAAAAAAAAGGGAGGTGATGAAAGGGGAAGTGAGGAAGAGAAAGAAAAGAGATGGGGAAAGGGAAAGCATGCAGGAAGAGGAAGAGATATAAATAGGGTCAGTTAGGGTGAGACGAAGAGACGAAGAGAGAAGGATGGACGGTCAACAGAGAAGGGAGTTAGAGAGAAACAAATCTGAGGGAGAAAGAGAGAAGCACGAAAACAGAAACTTAATACAAGAAACGGGGATAAATGAGGAAGATAAGATGGAGGGAAACGTGATGCACGAGGAGGAGAAGTGAGGAAGAGGAGAAAAGAGTGAGAGGGTGAGGAATGAGATAAGAGGACGATAGAACAGAGACAGACGAGATGAATGATGGAGAGCTGAGGATGAGGAGGAAATGTGAGGAGGTGGAGGAGGACAAAGCAGGAGGAGGTAGAAAAAAAACGAAAAGGATTGAGGAAGTGGAAGAAGAGGAAGATGAAGAGGGAGGGAGAAAGAGAGAAGCGGGAGGAATGCAGCAGAGGGAGGAGGCGGTGTTCTGCTTGGTTGCAGCTAAATGAGACGTTTCGTTAGACACCACACAGATGCATTTCCTCTGGTGCTCCTCCTCCTCCTCCTCCTCCCTCTCTTCCTCCCTCTTCCCTCTATCCACCTCTTTTAGTGCAGACAGGAAGACCTTCTCCTCCTCCTCCTCCTCTTCCTCCTTTTTCCCTCTCTCTTACTCTAAACATTTCCCTCTATTTTCCTTCAGATAAAGGAATCCGAGTGTAGACGTCTGCTGTCGAAATCCTGACCTTGTTTTCTGATTGGCAGCCGCGCGTTTTTGGCATTTTTTATAGTTCTGTGCACTTTGTACCTCAGATGGATAATCACATAATCTAAGCTAATGTGACAGATGACATACAGGCCTTAGGTCATTTGGTTTTCTGTTACATATTTTAATTTTTCTCTGCTTTATTGAGCACAGATGTGTGTCTGTGTTTCCTGGAATATAAAAATAGGGTCTAAAAATGGTGAATATTACTGAGTCAGATTTTTTTTTTTTTACCTGTTTTACATTTGTGCCTTCTTTTATGACTTCTATGTTTTACAGTTGCAGTTTGAAAGCAACAGTCTCTCTAAACAGTGTAGCTGCTATAATCCAGACGAGATTAGCTGCACAGGAACCTGCAAACACAAATCAGGACTAAAAAAAAAAAAGGTGCATGTTCTTAGTTTAAAAGGCAAAAATCATTAAATTATATTTTGATTTACAAGCGGCAGTGTGTAATATCATTTTTCAGTATCGTACACTCAGGGCTAAGGAAGCAATACAGTGGTTCTGAGACAGATGTTGACTTTTGTGGAGTAAAACTACATTTCTTTTCTTGTCTTGAAGTCTTTGAATTCTGTTTTTATTTCATGTCTTCATTTTTTGGGGTTAAATATGTAAATATAGAGTTTGCAAGGAAAGTAGAGATCATTTTCAGCAGGTTAGTGTATCAATGAAACAGAAATTTGTCATTTTTTGTAAAATTTATGGAAAGCAAGAACTACACTACTAACTAATCAACTAACTAATTTACTAACTACCTTATAATGTGACATTTACTAGGTTAGGATCTTACCATTTGAGCAATGCAATGCAAAAAATTCTAACATTTTTTATCTTGACAGCGGGATCTGTCTGGAAAAGCCGTGAACTTTCCAATAAGACAGAGACTCTGTGCTGAGAGTCGTGATTACGATGATGATGAATACTAAAATACTTTGATGCAAACTCAATGAATCCAATCAAAATATAGATCAAATTAATGGATGATGGCTGACGGTGATGTTAAAGAATTGTGGAGGATTGAATCGATCTATCATTTGCTCAATAAATCAATAAATATGAGCAGTAGGAGTGATGGATACAGTGCAGGATGAATGGATAAATTAAATAAGAGTTGGACTTTGGATGAAGCATCTAAGTCCTCCTCCTCCTCCTCCTCCTCCTCCTCTTCTCTATCCTCCTTTAATCCTGCTCTTCATCCCTCTTGTCTTCTTCTGTGGCTTTATTCGTGGCCGTGACATTCCTGGAATTTATCCCACTGAAAGGAAACTCACAGAGAGACTGACTCGCACTCACCTGGAGTAACCTCACCTGCTTGGTCACAGGAAAGGTCAAAGGTCAAAGTAACACCTCACCTATCCACTTTCTAGCTCCATAACTGACATTCTGCAGAAACACCAGTGTCGAGAACATGACTTTTTATTACCTGCTGATTTCAGCTGCTGCAAAACTACAAAAACCAGAATTATTCTCTAATAAAAAAAGTAGCTAAAACCTGCGTCACCATCTCTTTCAGTGTGTAGTCATAGCACTGTGTTGGAGAGTGTGTCGTGTTGTCTGAAAATAGCTCATCGGTCCACCTGTTTGTCTTAATGTCGTGGGCATGACCCTGATTACTGCTAATTCACTTAATGCCATTAATCCCATGTACAATAACACACACTCACACTTTTGTACAGAGTCCCCCAAGGCTCATCAACTGACCCTCTCAGCCTATTTCTGTCTGTGTGTGTGTGTGTGTGTGTGTGTGTGTGTGTACTGTAAAACATGTTTTATGTACGGATGAAGACACAGATGTTTGTGTGTATGATTGTGTGTGATGTGGGGCTGTCAGAGGAGGCTGGAAATAGACTTGGTGGTAATGAGAGGTTCAGGGGATTGATCAGAGCTATGGAAAAACTAACACACACACACACACACACACACACACACACACACACACACACACACACAGGTACACATAAGAGTCTCTATGGGGTGAGAAATCTTTCATGATCTGATCGCAGCAAATGGAAGAGCTCTGTCAACACGGCTGTTTAGTAACACACACACACACACACACACACACACACACACACACACACACACACACACACACACACACGCACACACAAAGCTCACAGTCTGAGTCAGAGGCTGATTATAGAGCAATATGTCATCCATTCATGCTATTGTGACCTTGACCCCTTGTGTACATATATATACACACACACACACACACAGGTTTAATGCTTAAATCATAAACAGGTATCACAGAATTCACTGTTAGCGCAGAGCTGACAGGTGAGTGTGGAGTGGCAGAGAGAGAGTGTGTGTTTGAAATGTGTGTGTGTGTGTGTGTGTGTGTGTGTGTGTGTGTGTGTGTGTGTGTGTGTGTGTGTGTGTGTAAATTCCTCTGGGACCAGAAGTACTTAATGTATTTTAAAAGTTTTCAGAGTGTGTGTTTAAGCTGGGGCTGTGTTTACTGAGTGGGCTGCAGATGGATGGACAGACACTGACATGTTAATGGCCTCCTGTGTGTGCGCGCGCGCGCGTGCGTGTGTGTGTGTGTGTGTGTGTGTGTGTGTACCAGCTGTGGCGTGTCGTGCAGCAGCGGCAGCAGCGTGGCCTCCAGGATGGCGGTCTGGTCGGGGGTCAGGCCCTGCCACAGCGACAGCAGCAGCACCAGCAGGTGTGTGGCGCTCCGCAGACGGACGAACGCCTCCTCCAGCAGAGCCCGGTTCTCCTCCGCCGCCTCCGCCAGCGCCATCACCTGCAGGAGGGAGGAGTCAGTCAATATCTTTCCGAATAATCACACTGTATAGTCAGGTGACAACAGCATGGCGTAGAGGGTTTCACATCTTTCTGCTTATAGTGAAATCATCACCGTTTTCTGTTTTCTTGTGTCTGATGCTGTTGCATGGTATCTCTAAAAATATTGCATTTGAATTAAAAAAATTACAATACAAGATAAAACATAGTAAAACACAGTTTAGTCACCATTGGAAAAGTTTAGACACATGAAGAAGCAGCTCAGTAAAATGTTCTGGGTCGACGATGTTGATGTTCAGCCTCGAAAATGAAGTGTGAGAAGTTTTGAGCACATTCCCTCCTGAGGCCAGAAAATTCATTACTTAAAAAAACACACATGTTCCCATTTATCACAGGAATAAGGCATTTATTATTAAAATATTACAAACAAAATACAGTCCTATATTGGCAATACAGCCCAAATCATGAATCATCTTTTGGTTCTCTGAGGGTCTCGGCTGTATGACTGAGAGCAGTTTCTCCCGGTGTCGACTGCACAACCTGTGTAAACAGTTTTATGAGCATCAGCTCCACAGCTCCTTCATTACCGTCACCGTCACAGTCCGCTCTGTCAGGAGGCTGATTTACTCTCATTTAGATGAGCCCCAATTCACCCCGAACAACTTCATCACAACATGTTGCTTTTAGAGCTTGTGTTTTCACTGGAGACCAAGATTCAACACGGCTGTTACATAAAGGCCTCACACCTCCAACTCCAGCAAGTTATTTCTGTCTTTACGCTTTGGAATTAGAAGTTAAAGTTAAAGTGTTTGGGAGAAAGATTGAATTATTTTTCATGCTCAGGTGGATTTTTCCTTTAAAGATAACTTCATTTCATTACATCATGGATTATATTTAATAGTTTTCATCTTTTATCAGTATTGAACACACAAAGTTAATTGACTGGAAAGTGAGTACTGCAGTCGATCTAAAAAGGTTTAGCTGGACAATATGACTTCAAATCAATATCACGATTATGTCAAACTTTTACCCTGATTACAATTAATGAGCAATTACTTTGGCATTCACGAGCCATGCACTCTTCATATTCGGCTGTGATTATATTTCAAGTGATTAAACAAATTGGTGGTGTCATCTTTGGTCACTATCCATGTTACATTCGCCGCTGTTTAGCAATCGTGACTGGAAGGAGGCGAGGTGGGCGTGTGCATCATCGTTTCCAAAGGTCTCAGTTTTCTGTCATTCCAGACTACAACAACACAACCTGAGTTTTATAAACTAAAACAGGTCCAGGAAGAGTTTCCAAAATTCTCTGTTTGAGGGACTTGAAAACTCCGGGGTCGTGTGGACGCCAGGAATAAACGTAGAGAAAAGAGATGAGTTTTTAAAGCTGCAGCAGAATCCACCTCTCTACTGTCGACCTGTAGTGCTCTGAGAAATCATTGCTTTGATGGTGAATCACTGAATGCGTTACTTCTCGCACATTGTTGGAGGCCTGAGCAGGTGTAACACCAAAGTAGTGTGTCTAGCAGCTCACACACACACACTAACTACAACCTCTCTAGACTGCAGAGAGGTTTATACCCTAAATATTCTCATTGAAAGCAATTCTATTAATGATAAGGTGGATTGTTCCTTTAAGAATACATTATTAAACAGCAGGGAATGAGCATCGGTCCAGGCTTTGCTGTGTTATTGTTTGGGTTTCCAAAGAGAAGGAAGTGGATCCACGTCCTTCGTCCTTCGTCCTTCGAATCTATCATATTTTAGGGTTGTTTCCTGGCGTCTGTTGGAATTCAATTCTCGCTCTGAACAAACTGCACCACTGTTCTCCTGTTAGAGAACTGGAAATCCCATTTTCAAGCTATTTTTTTTTTTTTGTTTTTTTTTAAAGCATCCCTTCTTTCTCAACTGGAAAAATAAACTGAAGTAAAAGGACAAAACGCAGCAGAGTTCAAATAAACCGCTCTCTATACGCTGGCTCTGCAAAGCTCTGATGACTTGTCCTTACAGTCAGTTGGCTTCCACTTAGAACCTGCAGGATTTTCATGAACCTGCTGCATGTTTTGTTCCCCAAAGAGCGCAGGGTTCAGAAACACTGAGGACAGCAAACAAAAACTGAACCCTCGCTTTGAAATGAAGACGAGGACAAGCGGCACAAGCGGGAGCTTAAGTCCGTTTTACTCTGCAGTGTTTAACAGCGAGCGAGTGGATGCATGAACGAGGTGTGGCGGGACCAGGTGAACTCTGACCTCCAGCCAGGGGTCAATCCCTCCATCATTACAAAAACAGAGGAGTGGAGCCTCGCGAACGTGTGATGACAGAGCAAGACGGATGGCGACGAGGACAACAAGAAAGGACAAGCCGGACAAAGAGAAGGAGGGAAACAGGAGACGAGGGTAGAGAGAGAGATGAACAGACAGAGAGAGAGAGAGAGAGAGAGAGAGAGAGAGAGCGAGAGAGAGAGAGAGAAAAAGAAGAGGTGAAAGCAGATCTGGGACTAATGGACTAGTGTGTGTTCAGATAAATGAGTGATCTGCAGGCCTGAGCGCCAACGTACGCCAGCAGTTTGTTTGACAAATGGATTCAGCGCTCGCCATTTGATACTGCGAAAACAGAGATGGAAGACTCTACAGTGTGTGTGTGTGTGTGTGTGTGTGTGTGTGTGTGTGTCAGGGTTGAGCAGCAATCGCCAAAGTAAGCCGTTTTGATTTGTGTAATACTAAACTTCAAACATATAGGTGCATGAGTATGAGTGCCTCCTTTATGACTTGGACACAAAGATGTAAACAGTTGGAGTCAAAACCTTGTTTTCGTGGTGACCCCCGCCCCCCACCCCAAAAAAGTCCCCGGCTCTCAGTCATGGCTGAGGTCACCTATGGGTGCCATGTCACTCACACCTTGTAGGTAACCCATACACACATTCACATGCTAAAACGTACCAATCAATGAACACCTAACTCTTTATAAATGCAGGCATTTTTGACTCTACTTCTAAACCTGTGAGGACCCTCATTGACTTAATACACTCCCGAGGCTCTTTGTCCAACTCCAACCATAATCTGAACCTCTAATCTTACGCCTAAAACAAACTCTGGACCCTCCAACAGCCTTCATCAAATTCTTGAGCATGGATCGAAATCAGGAAACTTTATTAACTCGAGACGGTTATTTTTACTCTAGCAAAGTTTGTTATTTAACACGGATGCATTGAGCAGTTCAGCAGGTGAAAAATGAAACACAGAAAGATGAAAAAGGGATTAAGAAATGTTTCTATTCCCCAAATGTTTCCAAAAATGTTTCCTAACTTTCTAGTTGTCAAACTGAGACTGGTCCTCGCAAAGATAGAGACTTGCAACTGGCACAGAAAATCCAAGCATATGAATTCTTGATTTCCTCATGCACACTTTCTACCATGCAACACACACACACACACACACACAACCCCAACCACCCTCCCCTCAGGGTCTCTGAAAGTGTGTGTGTGTGTGTGTGTGTGTGTATTGATAAAAGGCTCCAGGTCCAGTGAAGGGCTTCATTGTTGGCAGCAACTCGGCTCCACACACACTCTGATTGATGCCAGCTGAGAGAACACAAAGACACATTTAGGCTGGACACACACACACACACACACACACACACGAAGCAGTGATATAAGAACTTGCATATATGTGAACCGGAGTGGGCACAAACATAAAAAGAGGTACAACGGACAGACCTTCACAATAAGAGAGGAACCTGGACATTTATTCATGTTTTAATACACACACACACACACACACACACACACACACACACACACACACACACACACACAGTAGCTGTATGTCAGCAGCTGAACTGCTGGTGACCTTAAACAACCTGCTGAGGTTGTGACCTCCTGTCGTGTCTGAATAAAGTCTCCAAAAAAAAAATCAAAAAATCAAATTCAGAATGAAGAAAAGTTTGTGGTAGGAAAATGAAAATACTCTCTCTTTTACTCTTTCTTTCTATCCATCCATCCAGCCTTTATTCCATCCCAAACAAAGAGACCATAAGTCTAACAGCTCCTAATGCCAGCCAACATTTTACATTATTCCTGCACACACTCACCACACACACACACACACACACACACACATACACAAACAGTTGTGTTTGTATATTCACGCACAAATGCACTACGATATGCACACACATGCACCGAAAGCCACAAGAAATGTACTGAGAAACACAAACAGAAATCATGGGCACCCTTATCTATGGAAATGAACGGTTGAAAGCACACACACACACACACACACACACACACACACACACACACACACACACACACACACACACACACACACACATATACAAACTATGTGGCTGTGGTTTCAGTGAAGTAATTGTAGCCGATGGACTGAATGAGGTTTGGTAGCTACAACAGGCAAACTGTAGAAGAACCAATCAGGAAGCAGATGAAGTCAAACACGTGAGGGAGAAAAAGTGAAACCCGCCACACGATTGAACACAAGCGATACACAAAGGGTCGGAGGGAAGAGTTCGAATGCCACCCGGGATATCAGAGCTTGATCTGAGCATGTTTGACTCAGTGTTTGGTCCAGTTACAGATATCAGACTGAACTGATTTATCTGAGTCAATGCTTTCCAGAATAAAACCAACCTTTAAAAACCTTTGTCAACATAAGTATCTGCAAAATGTTGTTGCTGCAACTCAAAGCACTTGGCTCAGATCGGGGAAAGATGAAGTTCTTGTTTAAACATTTAGGAAAAGACACGACTTGAACCAAATTTGATGTTGATTCAGTATTTAACCTTAAACAAACGTTTAGTGGCCTAAACTTCACTAAATGCCAGATGTGAATCCCAGTATTCAGTGTCACAGTCCTGTGCTTTGAGCTTTGTAACATAAATGTCATAGTGTTACTGTTTAGGCTACTTCACAGTCGTCAAGGAGGAGGGAAAACTGTATTTTATATTATTATATAATACTGCTGTGTTAGTCTGTCTATGGTT